CAAACCAACCCCTTTGAGATTCAAAGTTACGCTTTCTTTCCTGTAGTCTTTCTTTTAGTTTATCTAGAGTCTGAGTTACCACTCCTGTTTGGTCTGTATAGAAACAGCATTCTTCCCTCAGGGCTGCACATAACCCTCCTTGCTTTAGGAACAGCAAGTCTAGTCCCCTTCTATTCTGCAGCACTACCTCAGAGAGAGAAGTCAGGGAGTCTTTTAGGGTTCTTATGGACTCCTCTAAGGCTATTAGATCCTGGTTCATGGCTTCATGAAGGAGCATAAACTGGTCCGAGCGAACTAAGGCAGTTGCCCCTGTCCCGATTCCCGCTGCTATTCCCCCAGCTCCCAATAATATAGCTAAGGTTATGCTCACAGGCTCTCGCTTGAATCTGACAGGGGTAGGTGTCTCTTCATAATGTTGTAATACATAGCTGTCTTCATGCCAATAAATTCTGGGCCATAACTGTACCAGGACACAAAAATCTTGGGTTAGATTTAGAACAGCGAGAGAGACACAAGGAGTCAGTCCCGTGCTGCATGCCCAGTAGGTGCCATTAGGGGGCACAAGGTATGCGTCGGCCTGGAGGGAAAGGGAGGAGTTATTCTTAAGGCAATGTTTAAATCCAGTGGGCACCTTTCCGATGCAGGTGCCTGTCGAGGTAACCTGAGTCAGGGTGAGCGTGTGGGTGGAAGAGGTGCAGGCGAGGGGGGCAGCAGAGTTCGCGGGTAGTACTGAGAAGTTTTCCTGGACGGCTATGCCCTCATAGTAAGGGGGGCTCAGGTTCAAACAGAGCCAGCAATTCTTAGATTTATCTGGCTCCGAGTGATTTAATGCCTGGAACGCTCCCCTGACGAGGCTTAGGAGTCTATCACCTGTTCCAGGGTATATGGTGGGAGGCAGGCTGGCAAAGTCATTGGTTTCTGGGATTTGTGAGGGCACCAAAGCAGATGACGGAAGAGAAGCTGGTCGCTGGTTACTGAGGACTGGGTTGGGACCTATAGCCACTGCAGGTGGGGGAGATATCTTTCTTCTAATTGTGAAAAGGAGGCCATCATCTCCCCTTTCCTTGTATAGTCTGATTCCCCAAGTAAATCCTTTGTCCCAATTTAGGGTTGACTTTTTACCTTGTGGGGTGAAATCTACGCGAAGGGGGTGGCACCATGCATGTTCACAGGCCTGTTTATGAATAGTTTTCCAATCCTCAAAAGTCCCATGAGAATAATTTGCTTTTACAGTGATATAGTCCCATGA